AGGACTCTCTATATATAGAAGCTGATTCGTTAATTTCATTATAGTAATCTTATCGTAGAATAGCTGTTCCTTGTGACGATTGTACCGGCTTTTAGGTCTGAGTTAGCCGCTAGTATGGTAACCAGTTACATTAGCAAGCCCGTAAAACCAAGGCTGATCCGTCTAGCGCACTCACATATGGCCCTATTTGGCCCTTTCACCAATTTCACCTCAGTCCCTTATCTTCTTGTCACGATATTGCAGCTCTTTTGAAATTAAGAGTAATTAGCATTTTTTTTTGTTATGCACTTTTTTAAAATCGTTAGAAGCTTGCAATTTTCATAGATGTCTGCCTCAATTTCGATAAATACTTTCTTGTTTGAAGGGATTTCTTTCCCTTGCTGTAATACAGAATATTGTTTTTCTCTTGTTTGAGTGACTTTTGAAAATAGCATTAAAAACCAGGCGAAAAGAGATATTATTGCATAAAGATTATTACACTCCCTGCGAACGGCTTTGTATGGCAATTTTCGATCATCTAGGACTATTTTAGAAACATAAAATGACACAGAAGGTACAGTCCTTTTTTTCTTCATTTCATCGATCCTACTTTCATTACAATGTCCTAATTCCCCTATTCTCGATACTTTTTACGAAGATTTATTTATGATTATTTACTAAATTCACTAAATTGCGAAATCAATCAATTCTTGTTGATCTCCGGCTGTGGAGCATCCTTCTTTCCTTCGTCCACTCTTCTCACCGCAGGGGTTTCAGGAACAACCACTGCGTCGGAGCTCACAATTGTCTTTGTTATTGTGGCTGTTGTTTTCTCTGAACTGATTAAGGGAGCAGAAACTGCTGGAGCTGCTGCAACTGCTGGAGCTGCTGGAACTGCTGGAGCTGCTGAAGCTGCTGAAGCTACTGAAGCTGCTGGAGCTGCTGGAGCTGGATCCTAGAAAAAAAAACTTTTTTTTCAAGCAGAATGATGATATCTGAGTGCCAAAGTTGAAGGTAGCCTCGGCAGAAAGACCATACTGAGATAGTCATCTCCTGGTTCCCCTGAATAGCTAGTAGGTCCAAGATTATGCTCTGCAGCTTCAAAAGATATCAATAGCCCGCTTTTT